CCCCTCCCTACCGCCCCTAGGCCCTTAGGCGCGGAATTCCCCCCGGGGTAGGACGTCCGCTAAGATATTACCGTAGCGGACGTGTAGGGGCGCCTTAAGAAGATAAAACCCTAGGCGGTACTAAGTCCTAACGGACTCTTAGCAGGGCTCCTAAAAGTATATAGACCCCCCCTATACTAAAGACTTAGTATTATCTTTATAGCATGCCTTACAATAAGCCATTACCCGAAAAGGTACCGCTACGCTACTATAGTAGTACTTAAGAAGGCCCGCCGTTAGCCGATTACGGGATAGTAAAAGGCTAATAACCAATATCACTCCTTAGTATAATAGGTAAGGTCCTTAAGGGGATACTAGCCGACCGGATTATAACCGTAGTAGAGGAGTATCGGCTCCTCCTAGAGGGATAGATAGGTAACCGGGTAGGGTAAAGTATAAAGACGGTAGTATAGAGAGTCACGGAGGCCGTAAGGGTAAGCTAGGCCTATAGCGGTACCGCTTCGATACTCTAAGTAGATATTAAAGGCGCTTTTAATACTATCCCCTATTCTCGCCTCCTTAAGGTACTTAAAAGGAAAGGCTTCCCCCAGTAGCTTATTACCCTAATTAGCAGCTTTCTTTAAGACTATATAGCCTAGCTATTACTTAATAGCGAAACGGCCCCCCACGGTACCTTTACAGGGGTATACTATAAGGCTCCCTAATCTCCCCTATCCTCTTTATCCTCTATATCTCTACTTTATACGAAGAACTAAAAAGGGTTCCTAAAACGACAGTAGTAGGTTTTACCGATAACACGAACATTATCGCCTTTAGTAGGACGGAGGTATAAACGCGATAACGCCTCGCCGCTATATAGCGGATATACCTAAGCTAAGAGATAGCGAGTAGACTATAGTTTAAACTAGCTAAATATATCTATATCCCTTTCACGAAGTTATGTTAACCCTTACCTACCCCGCTCCCCCTTAGTATTATTTTAGTACTAGTAGCGGAGGCGATAAAGTTCCTAGGTATTTAGCTTAATAGGGAGCTCGAGTTCCCATAAAATACTAAAAAGGTAAAAAGCCGCTTAGCTACCTAAATATACGCTCTTTTAAGGCTTAGCGCGGTAGCGTAGGGGTATAGCTTTATAGATATAAAAAGACTATACCTCGTAGTAACACGACTAGTAATCGTCTACTACGCCTCGACTATCTATAAGATAGGGGCCGGCCCCCGGTAAGGCCCCGTAGCGGCACTTATAACGGTATAGAACTAGTACCTCCAATTAATAGCCGGAGCCTATAAAGCTACGCCGGTTAGGGTCCTCGAAAAAAAGACCTTTATCTCCCCCCTTAACCTATGCCTCTTCAGCCTTAGTGCCCGGAAAGTCCGCCGGATATAAGAGGAGGGAACCGAAGATAAGATATTAGCCGGAGCACACGCCGCGGTAAAAGCCTTAGCGGTACCGAATCGGTATTATAGGACTTATACGGCCCTCGCGTGGATAGCCTAACTTAACGCCCTAATAACCTAGACTAAAAACACGGCCCCGAGGAAAGCCCTTATAAGGGACTAGGGTTAAACCTAGGCAGAGGCATAAAGGCCCTATACCTATACCGTAGCAGTATTAAGCCGCCCCCTAATATAACGCTCCCTTTAGAAATATAGAGGACTCCTAAAGCTATAAAGCGCCGTACTTACCTAAATTAGATTAGAAAAGCTAGGCCTATAAGCTTTCTTAGTAAAAGCGAGGGTGCCGGGATTTCTAATAACACGGTGCTCTTACGGCGATAAGAGGGCAGAAATAGCGGAGCACGTAATACTTTAATACTAGGATATAACCGAGGAAAAGCGTAAAGAGCTCTTCGGTGCCGTGGGGAGACTACTTATAACTAAAAGGGATTTATATAATATACTAGACTATAACACGGAAGCCGGGGTAGTTATAAGGTAGTTCCTATAACGGAAAAGGCTTAAGCACTTCCGCCTTACCCTTAAAGTTATAAAGGCCTATAAAGATACCCGTAATACTAAAAAGGGACTATACCGGGGATAAGGCGGTATAACGACTAATTAATTATTAGGATAAGGGCCTTAGAAGCTAGGACCCCGGTAGTATCGACGTAGTACTATTACGGTACTAATTAGCTCTTATTATTATTACCTCCTTTAGAGGCACTAACACCGCTTTCGATATACTTAAGACCCTATTAGGCTAGTTAGATAATACCGCTAGAGAGCCGTAACGGGACTAAGGGGGAGCTACTTATATAGTATTCCAGGATTAGATCTATCTTACCCTCTAAACGCCTTATCTAATAAGATAACTCCTATACCTTTACCGATACGGTGCCGCCGCGACCGCGACCGGAAGGTAATACCCGGTTTAGGGCCCGGCTAAAAGACCGGGACACCGTCCCTAGGCGCTCTTTAGCCTATAACTTATTAGCGTGGAACCGTTATAGCACTAAAGGGGGATACTTATAGTAGCGATACCCGTGTTACTAATAGCCTTTACCGCTATATATACCTAATAGATATCTATAAGGCGTTACTACTACTTCTTAGTAGCGGAGAGAACTTATCGAACTATTAGCTATATCTACCCCGACGTATATATAATACTACTATAGTACTAAGGTAACTTATATCCTTATATAGATAGCGACTATTAGTATACTAATAATAGGCCGCGCTTATTCCCGTGGTATTAGCGTAAGCTTTTATATTATCGGGGTAAATACCTAAACGCTTACTATAACGAATATAACTACCCTATATTAGCACTATAATACTACTCCGATACTACTAAAGGCTATATATAGTATAATATAAACTATACCGTGCTTATAGCGGTAGTTATTATTATTAGTATTAGTATTATTAGGAGACGATATCTACGACTATTAGTATACTACTACTAAAGTACCACTACGCTATAAAAAGAACTTATATTACGCTACCACTTTAGATTACTTATTTATATATATAAATCGCTACTATACTACCTAGTTAACCCTATACTATTACACTACTATAACGCTACCTATAAAATACCTATAGTTAAAATATAGTAGGAATATAATAAGAAAACTAAAGGGGTTTACTAATTAGTATAGGCCGTAACGATATACTTATAAGACCGTAAGCGGGAATAGATTAAGGAAAACCTATACGAAACTCGTTAGCGTTATAGGAGGAAGAGGGAGGATTAAGGTATAAAGGCCTCGAGGGATATTAACTATCTAATTCTTATAATAGGGTAAGGCCCTATTCCCCCTACCTACCGCCGGATATAGCAGGAACCTACTTAGGGGAGGTAGGAGGCGCCTACCTCCCTTACTCTTTTTATTAACTAAATAAAAGGAATAAAGGCATAATCCCCGAGGGATATAGGGAGACTAAGGAGGGAGAGCCGTAGTTACCGTATAACGGAAGCGCGGTAGCGCCCCCTTAGCCCCCGTTCTACCGATAGAGATTAGCCTAGGCTAACCCACCTAACTACTAGCCTACTATACTTCCCGTTAGCCACCGGCCTAAAGGTAAAATCCCGATATATAACAGGGACGAACCGGGGCTATATTAGCCCCGTAGCGGCACCTCTCTACCTAAGGAAGTGTATAAAGATTTTCCCCGGGTTTTACCTAGGTTTTCCCCTCTATAGCCACCCGAGAAGGACCGTATAGCCTAGAAAGGCTCCTATAGACAGATTAGTTAGGATAGCGGAGTAAGATTAATAATAATAATAATAATAACTATACCTTTATTTTTAGATAGCCCGTATTTTATAAGTATTTTTAGTATATACTACTTATAGGATCTTAGTCTTATTAATTTATTATAGAATTTTCTACTCTATTAAGATTTACTAAGAAATTATTAGATATCACTAACAGAAACTTCTAGCTCTAATTTCAGCTTATAGCTTTAGTATATAGAAAAAATAAAGTTATATATATAATACCCGTATACCGATCTACGTAATAGATTAATTTTATGCGGTTACCTTTTATAGTTAGTGAAATAACAGGGGTATAAAATCCCCTTTTTTGGTGTGGTTTAGGGGGCCGTTTCTAGGGGGGGGCCGGATTGGTGTGGTCCGACTTAGCACTAAGTGCTGATTTTTGTTATTCGTCTATACAGGAGTACCGGGCCCAGTTCATTACACTTCCATTTCGGTCCCTAGCCCAGGAGTCTTCATTCCAGTTCTTCCCATCCCAGGCGCTGAGACGGGAGAGGTGCCGCATCGTCGGCCGGCCATGGGGACAATTCCATGGTTTATCCAACTCTCCCATGTGACGCACCAGTTTTGTCATTTGGCGGTATGTCAAGGCTGTCCCCACCATGATGCTGCTCCGGCAAGCTCGCATAGCAAACATCTTACGCACTTTGGACGGCCGAGGTGCCGAGCGAGAGTCCGGATATCGAGTGTCGCTTAGCAGAGATACTAGCTCTTCTAGATCTGCAATGGTGAAGGTCGTCTCGCGGCTCAGTGGCAAGGCGATAAGCTCGCACCGCGACCCAACTGGCTGAGAGCCCGACTCGTCGAAGCGCACCTTAAAGCCATTGGCTTCCAGGGCTGGCAGGTTTTCTCGGACGATCTCCTCCTCCAAAGCGGTAAGCTCAAGGCGCCTGGGATGGACCAGGTTCTGTGGCTGGACGGTCGTAGACAACTGCAGGCGTTCGAAGTTATACTTTTCATCAGAAGCATGCTGGTCAATGATGAACAGATTGCCATCTCCAGCTTCTGGTTGTCTGGGTCTGGAACCGTGTCTGACGGCAAGTATGAATCCGAGATTGAATTGACCGACAACAGACATGCGAGCAAAATCCGTCTTTGTAATGATCAAAGAGAGAGTTTCCTCGGCATCGTCTGCTTCGAATCCACCCCTGGTGACCGTAGATCCGTGGCATTTGAAGATACGACGTGCATGAGAATCACGGGCCTTGATCTGGGCGAGAATAGAGTTTTCCTCGGTGTTCATCGACTGAACAAGTTGCAAAGTGGCTCCTCTGCGTTTAGCAGATAGCGTGAAGCCAGAATAGTGTGCTAGTTTCGAGGGAGGTGCTTCCGCGATTTTTTTATTATAGGCTCTCCGGCCAGAACAGGCCCCAGATTGGGTGTAAGACTGGATTCCACGGTCATTACTCGGTCTGTCGTATTTCGAAATATGGTCGGTAGTCACTAAATCTCTGTCATCTACATGTGGCATTGAACTCCCATCTAGCACCCGGCCGGGCGCAGCAGCCTGTTCATTACCGTCACTGTTCTCTTTGTTGTCAATAGGCTCTCGGTGCGCCAATACATCAGTCGCTGAGCTTCCCGTGTATTGCCTAGTTGGTGGCTGTTCGCCATCGGCCGAGTGACTATCTGGACTGTTTCTCGATCTCTTCGTCTGTCCCGTTCTTCCCAGCATTGAATTCGTATTCAGCGCTTGGTTTCTGGTGGTGATAGTGGCCTTCTCAAAAGCCGCAACGGGCCCGGGGTCGATATCGGTCAGCTTGTTACCTGTAATGGCGGGCTGCGAGCTGATGGACATGGAACTGGTGGTGCATGGTGTGCTGATACGAGGCTCCTCTTCCTCGTTCCCCGATACAGTTTCAGTTGGAGTACCTGAAATTTCCGCATCTGAACTCTCGTTACAATCAGCCCTAGCCTGGATGTCTAGCAAACCCAATGGCATCCCAACTGCCACGTTGGCTCGAGATGGTGGTTTAATTTCTTGTCCCTGGGAGGTGGAGGGATTAACCGCTGAGAGTGTGGCTGTCGTCCGCACAGAGGGACTAGCTGGCCTCAAAATCCCATCGTTTCTGAGCCAACTGGGTGGGGTAACCTGGTTGCTCGACATGGAAGTCGATGTCCACTGGCTCGCAATACCCCGATATTGCGCACCAGGAGGATCGGCGGGCTTGGCAGAAGGGGGCCCAAGGCCATGGTTCAAATCACTGTCATCGTCTCTGTGGTCGGAGCGCAGGGCATCACGCTCTAGGGGTGACAAGTCCACTTCGCTGGGCCGAAGTGAGAAAGCATCTCCTCGCGTTCCAGCTGGCGAAGCATGTCGTGTCCTTGACATGGGCTTCGAAGGGACAGTTTGGGACGTGGGAATGAAATAGTCATTTGACTCAAACAGAGACGCGAGAGCATCCCTGAGCCTCTCTAACATTCGAGCTTGATCATGAAGGAGAATTGTGCGCTTGTCCGGGCTCACGTTGACGTCGTATAAGTGGGTATCTAGTTCGATATTGGCCAAGATGAAGGGTGACTGAGAGGCATTGTACAGCCTATAGACCTCATTGAATACTCTTGAGAACTGGGGTAATAGACACGGCCTTCCGTTGACGTAAAACATCTGACGGTCGGGTGTCTGGCGGCCCTCGCCATGAGCTGGGCGGCTGACAAATCCCCGAACTCGAACTGTGGTGGATTTTTGCTCAGCGACATGCTGGCCAGACCTCGGACCTGGTCCGGAGGTGGAATCGAGTTCGAGGTCCACGTCCAAGGCAATAAGGACAGCCATGGCTTTGGCGCCAAAGACGTTTATTATGTTCTCTCGCGTCGTTTTATTTCCCTTTGTAGAGAAGAGGAGGACTCGCTTGCCTTTACTGGGCTGCTGCGAGACGGTGAAGTTGAGGTTGGTCTGTATGCAGGCATACTGATTGAGGAGGACAAGAACCTTGCCCCACTCACGCTTGATGTTGCGCTCGAGTTCCCGGCGACGCACGGGGAGGTTGTAGAACAGATCGTTGACGAAGACCGTGGTCCCTTTCTGGGCAGCGACAACAGATGCTCCCACAAGTTTCCCGGACGACTCAAATTCTAGCCTAGTTCCTTTAGGTGCATCCGCAGCGAGGCACGTGACGACAGAGAAGCGAGATAGGGCGCAAAGTGACGATAGAGCCTCGCCACGGAATCCAAATGTACGAAGAGTCGAGATATCCGAGAATGTCGCCAACTTGGACGTGTGGTGCTTCAGAGCAAGAGTCTCATAATTTTCTGGTGATATACCAGATCCGTTGTCGTGGACCTCAACGGCGTCCAATCCTTGGTTTCTAAATCGTACGTCTAGTGCGTAGAGTGCGTGACGGTGGTAAATCCTGTCAGTATACACCTATTCCCCCACGGTCTGCTACTTCGAATCCGGTAGGGAAGAGGTTGTCGTTGTCAAACCCCTGGAGATGAAAATATCATAAACGCACCTATATTCGCGGCGCCGGCATCAAGACTATTTTCTACAAGTTCCTTCACCACGCTGCAGAGATCAACAATGACCTGCCCTGATTGAATTCGATGCACCTTGGCTTATCAGCACAGAAAGTTTTGGGCGCATACGTCGTGGGCCTTACCGTCGCGGGCTCAATGGCCTTAATAGTAATCATGGTGAAAATAACTGACTGACGAAGCAACGGGGCTTAAGGGTTGACAGTGAGATGAGCAGGGCCCCTGTCGTTCATGACCACCTATGTGGCATGAGCCACACCCTAGGGTATGTCAGACACAGCGTAACTTGAGCCGTCAAAATAGGGTGAAAATCAAGAGTGCATATATTCGGATTACGGTAACCTGTCAGATGCCCACCTTATCGAGGTGTGACAAACCATATTGTGTTAGACGTGTGGAGTACCTCGTTCCTATATATCCACACTTATTTCCCCTAGTTTTTCCCTATAGTTAGATATCCCCGTAAAGACCTACGAACTTCACTTAGATAAATACATATTATAATTCCGTACCTTTATTTATATTCTAATAGTTATAAGCCCGGCGCTCTAGTAAAACGACTCTATTCCGATTTATCTAATAGCTTTAAGACAGATATCCTATCCTTGTTAAAGCCTTAAGCCCATTCCGGCTAAAGCTATTCTGCTAGTAATGTCCGCCTGCTTTTATTTCATTTAATTGTTTTATCGCTTCTATTATACTAATATATTAAGTGTTTAGTTTAGTTAATCGACCTATCCGTTTATTCTATTCTAATACGTTTATTAATATAATAATAACTTCTATAGTAGCTTTATTTATTATTATTATTAATATTACTCTAGTATCTTATCTAATCTAGTCTATAAGAGCCTATTTAGGCTATATAGTCCTTCTCGGATAGCTAAAAAGGTGAAAACCTCTATACTTATCCTTAGGTAGAGTAATACTATTACAGGGCCGATATAGCCCCGGTTTATCTCTTTTGCATATCTGGATTATACCTCTAGTCTAATAGCTAATAGGAAGGGTAGCTGCCTATAGTTCGAGTTAGCCTAGGCTAATACTAGCAAGGGAGTACAGGGCCGCGGGGGTACTATAGTATCTCTAGTATACGGCGGCCGCGGTACTCTATACTCGGTCTTCTTATATCCCCGGGGATTATTCCTATTATCCTTTCAATTTAATTAATAAAGAGAATAGTCAAGGCAAAGCTCTCCTACCCCCCTAAGGGGTAGGGACCTATTATATTCGGTAGTAGATAAGTAGGGTAAGGCTCCACCTATAATCCTAAAATATTAGATACTTAATAAATAATAAAGTCTTCTTCCTTTTTCTATTTTCCTTTCTATAACGATATAAAGCTTACTATAGGTTTTCCGTATATCGTGTTTCTATTAACAGTCCTTACCTTCGAATACACGCCTATTAACCACGGGCGCGTAACTAGAGTAAAATCGATAAAACTATTAAGACGGCGATTATAACTACCGTCTCCCTCCCGGGATACTATCGTAGCGGCACCGTAATACCGGCGCTACGGTATAGCTAGAAGAGACGTAGGACAGTGGCCCGATCTTATCTATATAGAATTCGTAACAGACCTACTTTTCGTAATATAAGCGTTCTCCCCCTCGCCTATAACGGGATATAGCGCGGAACTGATAGGAGACCGAAAGGGGACTACCACGCCCCCCGGAACCGAGAGTAACTAAGATTAAGACAGAAATTTAGGCCCTACTAGCTAATAGGAATATAATTAAGTAGGTTATAAAGCTAGTAAAGGAACTAATTATAATACGCACTACTCGTAAAAACGCCGGCGCGATACCGTTAGTATACTTATACGCTACTATCCGATATATTATATAAGAGGAACTCCGGAAAGGAGCGAGTAGCACGAAAAAGACTTAGGCTAATATTATAGCCCGGGCTCCCGTGGCGGTACCGCTATAAGACCCCGCCCCCCCTAAAGTAATCCTAGCTAGGTATTACCGGGAATTAATTATCCGCTAAGGAACCCTCCCTAAAGACTAGCCCCTTAAAGATAGGACCCTAAAAGAGATTATCTAAGCTATAAACGCTATAACTATCTAATACGATACTATAACGGTATAGAAGCTACTAAGCAGGGATATCTACTTTACCTTTACTAAAGGGGTATAATAATAGGCTACCTATAAGGAATAATAGATTAAGAAGGCCTTTAGTAAAGGAGCTACCCTAGCTATACGCACTTACCCTATACTAGCTAAGGCTATCCCTAGGAGGTCCTTAACGCCTTATTCGAAGAAGACCTGCTAGTATCCCTATAAGATATAAACCCTAAGGTAAAAATTATCTGAGTATAATAGCAGGTACCCCGCCGCGGTATAAGTAAGGTAGCGCTCCTCCTTATCGAATCGGCTTCGCCGGAAAGGGTAGCAAGCCTTATCCGGAATACCCTCCTTTTTAAGGGGGGTAGCTATATCTATAAACTATATAACCCCGACCTTAGCCCCTTAAGATACTATACGTGCCTATACCTCGGCTACCGGGCGAACGGCTACCCTATAGCAGAGAGGGTATACCATTATTATACTAAGCCTAAATTAGCGTACCCTTAGGGCCTAGGATACTATAAAGCTACGGTGCCGGGACGCCCCCGCCATTATACCGCCTATACCAGAGACTATAATACCTTTCATGATTTATACTAATTACTCAAGAAAATGGCCGAGAAGACCCGCGAAGCGTATAAGTACTAAGCTAGGGACTTTAATATTACCTGTTAGACCGAAGCGGTACTCCCGCGGTAGCTATAGATCTTCCCCCCGATTATTATCGCCTAAGACTAGGATTACCCCCTCCGTAGAGGTAGGGGTCGGCCCCCGAAAAGGACTAAGGGATAGGAGGGCTCCCCGATACTAGGCCTAATAAGCGCCTATATAGTCCCCCGCGGGCCCGATAAGGCACCGTAGTGAGAACCCTAGAGCTAGACCCCGGCTAGACCGGGTACGTTATCTTAAGCCCCCCTCTCTTTAATTAATAGAAATCTATATCCTTTCGTGGAATATAGGGAGGAGTTAGGCGCGGCGGGAGCTACCGCTCTAGTACCGCGCCGAGTATAACGTAATAGTAATTCAGGAACCCGGCCTTAACTATTTCACGAAAAGCCCCGTATACCCCTTCTAAGGAGTATACCGGCTAATCTAGGGAGGAGGCTATACCCTCCTATGTATCTATAAAAGACACCCGTTATATACGTGGATATAGCGGGCCTACTGCGATATATACGCGGTTATATTTAGGACCGGAGACGATACCCATATAATCTAGTTAATCTACTTAGAGAACTACTAATAAGCTAGGATCCCTTAGAATACGCCCCTATAAGATATATTCGACACGGTACCACTATAGGACTAATACGTCCTTATAGGAGACTTTAACCTATACTACCCCCTATAGTTATAGCCACCGCGGTACTACCCCCGAGCTGATACCCTGCTTACCCTTACGACCCGGTAGAACCTTAACATAGTTACCCCCCCCGGAATAACTATATAGTATTACCCGGGCCGGCGTACTAGTATTATCGACCTTATATAGGTAACGTAAAGGCTCCGCTACGACTTTAGCGGCCCGGATAAGACCATTATCAGGTCTAACTACTACTTATAGACGGCCTGAATCCTTATAGAGACGGATACTACGCCGACTACCGTAACGACACTACCGCGGGACCTAGCCGGGCCCTACTAGGTCTAGAAAGACTTCGATCCCTTATAGGTCCCCTAGCTCGCCACCACGCGGCTATAGCAGACTAGCCCCCTTATATTACTAGAAGATATAGACTTAGTACTAGATAACCTAATAGTAGATCTTATAACTATAGCCGATAAGGCCACGCCACGCCGCTATAGGGGCACCCCTAAACGCCTATCTAACCCTTAGTAAAACGCGGAGCTAACCGCCCTTACCTAGGAAGTAAGGCGCCTTTACTGTAGATATATATCCAGGAAGTCCCGGGACTAATAGGATAAGTTCTAGAAAGCGGAGAGGCGCCGAGATAAGGCCGTGGCGGTAATAAAGCGGATATACTAGCGGCACCTACTTTACTTAACCGGGAGGGATAATAGCCTTCTCTAATAGCTATAGAAATAGGCATAAACTAAAGGGGGCGTATTACCGGACCCCCTATTAATACCACTACTATACTAAGATAATAGCGATTACCCGGTAACTATACACGCAGAAAAGGCTAAAGTCCTAAACCGGAAGTTCTTTCCCCCCCCCCCCCTTACCGCCCCTAGGCCCTTAGGCGCGGAATTCCCCCTAGGGTAGGACGTCCGCTAAGATATTACCGTAGCGGATATACAGGGGCGCCTTAAGAAGATAAAACCCTAAGCGGTACTAGACCTCGACGGACTCCTAGTAAGGCTCCTAAAAGTATATAGACCCCCCATATACTAAAGACTTAGTACTATCTTTATAGCGTGCCTTAAAGCGAGCTACTACCCGAAAAGGTACCGCTACGCTATTATAGTAATCCTTAAAAAGGAAGGCCGGCCGCCGGCCGACTACGGGATAACGAAGGGCTAATAACCGATATTACTCCTTAGTATAATAGGTAAGGTCCTTAAAAGGATACTAGCTAATCGGATCGCGACCGTAATAAAGGAGTATCGGCTCCTCCTAAAAGGATAGATAAGTAACCGGGTAAGGCGAAGTATAAAGACGGTAGTATAAAGAGTCACGGAGGCCGTAAAGGTGAGCTAGGCCTATAATAGCACCGCTTCGATACTTTAATAAGATACTAAAGGCGCCTTTAATACTATCCCCTATTCTTACTTTATTAAGACGCTTAAAAGGAAAGGCTACCCCTAGTAGCTTATTACCCTAATTAGTAGCTTCCTCTAGGACTATATAGCCTAGCTACTACTTAATAGCGAAATAGCCCCCCCGCGGTACCTCCGCGGGGGTATACCGTAAAGCTCCCCGATCTCCTTTATCCTCTTTATCCTTTATATCTTTACTCTATATAAGGAGCTAAAAAGGGTCTTTAAAACGATAGTAATAGGTTTTACCGATAATACGAATATTATCGCCTTTAGTAGGATAAAGGTATAGACGCGGTAACGCCTTGCCGCCGTGTAGCGGATATACTTAGAATAAGAGATAGCGAGTAGATTATAGTTCGAATTAGCTAAGTGTGTTTATATCCCCTTCACGAAATCACGCTAACCCTTACCTACCCCGCTCCCTTTTAGTACTACTTTAGTACCGGTAACGGAGGCGATAAAGTTCCTGGGTATTTAGCTTAATAGGAAG